GGAACTGTATTTCTTATTTGAAGAGCTCCGCCTCTAAACTGATTAGCATTGATATTGCGCAATGCATTATTATTAGCTAATCCATTGATAGCACCAAGATCTGCAAGGCCCGTATTGTCGCTAATATGTTGCAATTCCCAATTTTTATTCTTGAGATGAGTTTCATAAAAATCTTTTGCATCTTCTCTTAAACAAGTCTCAAAAAGTCCGTGAATTCTTACTCTGGTTCGAGTATTTGCTAGTGGATCAAGCCCGGATGCTTCACAATATTGTATAAAATCTCTAATCCATTCTTCAGGATCTTCTCTGGCTTTTCCGTAAAATAGGGGTGGTGCGTATCCTGCCATTCCTCTATATTGATTATTTATAGGTAAATTATTCTGAAGCGCAAATATTTGTTGATTTAAATTCAAAATTAATTGCTGGGAATTGCGCTCCCTATTTTTCCACTTGATATGACTTGCCTTTCGATCCTTGAATTTATTGTAATATCTATCAAAGAGCCGATCTCGATTATATTCTAATAATCCTTTATCAGCCCAGCATTATTGTAGCTCCTGTTCTAAACGATGAATAAATACCTTATAAATAATTTCAAGAAAGCGTTTAAGTTTTGATTGTTCTTCCCATATCAGACTTGCATTAAACCACAACTGCCCTCGCAAATTATATCTTTGTTGGCTGTTATTAAGATTTCGAGTAAGTTGATTGACGCGATTCTGCAAGGTATCTCGTTCTGGTATAAGTTGATTGACACGATTTTGCAAGGTATCTCGCTCTGGTATAAGTTGATTAACATAATTTTGTAAGGTATCTCACTCCTGAATAAGCTGATTAACTTGATTCTGGAGATTAGCGTTTTGCTCTCTAAAATAATTGACATCTTGTTGCAACTGCAATACTTGATTATTCCGATCATCTCGTTGGGCTATAACACCATCTATATCCTGATACGCATTTTGGTAATTAAGGCGGACAGCATTCAATGAGCCTCTAATACCATTTATAATATTTATAGAATTATTTAACGGCGTTCCAGCACCTCTAAGATGATTTTCAATACGATTCAAGCCTCAGTCGATTTGTATAAAAAGATCAAGATTCACCATATCTATATCTTTCTCTTCTGAATTATATAAACTTGGAGAGCTTCTTCTAGAAGAAATATCTTTGAATCTATGCTGTAAATTTTGAACTCGCTCTTCCGATTCTTGTAATTGCTTCTCTATACTATCGATATAGGATACCTTATCTCGAATATCCTTTTTAGCTTGATATAAGTTTCTTTTAAGGGATGATATCTCCGATCTCAACTCTGCTTTTTTTCCCTCTGAAGCATTCTCGAGACGTTCCAGTTCTTCTTTAAGAGATTGGATTTCATTCTCACATCTGGTATATTTACGTTCCAGAACCTTTATAAATTTTTCATTCGACTTATTAATTGAAACTTCGTTAGATAACTCATCCCTCAAAGCTTGATTTACCTGCTCCAATTCCAATTTCCGATCAGAGCTTGGCCCACGAGATAATCGATTGCGATGTGGTTGACGAAATGCCATAGCTATTTTTTACGGCATAATATATTGATACAAAGTAAAGGCATAGCCAAAATGAGTATATCTACTATATATATAGATCCATATGCTGAGGTAGCTATAGTTTGTTGTGCATTCTATTATAATATTCCCAGGTTTTATCCGAATGTGAAAGCTCTACAAAAGGCGTGCAAAAAAGAAGGGTATGGTCATTTTCGACTCAAAGATATAACAAAGTGGTTAGAAAATCAGTATGATTACCAAATATATCGTCATCCACCAAAGATTAAGGCTCAGGCTAGCTTTTCTAAATGCTGAATTCCTAATAAATTACACCAATGTGATCTATTACCTCATGTTTATGATGATCAGAAAAGGGGGAAAGTGTATTTACACACCTTGATGCTGATAGATGTGGCGACAAGATTTAAATGTGCAATAGCGTTGACGTCAAAGAATAGTTTAGAAGTTTGGAACGCGATCGAAAAAATATACAATGATCCCAAAAATCCTCTCACATGGCCAGCATTGTTGATGGTAGATGGTGCGGGGGAGTTCAAAGGAACATTCTCTCGAGGGATGGAACGTTATAATGTTCCTATAAGAGTTGTAGACCTTTATAGTTTTGAAAGCTTAACGTTAGTAAAAAAATTCAAACAAGATTTGGCAAAAATTATATATAAAATTCAATATGCTATAGAAGGAAAACTCAAAGAAGGTGAATGCTCAAAATTATGGAAAAAGATACTTCAGAAAATTATCAACTATATGAATAATAATAAAACGTGATTAATCGGTATAAGCCCTGACCATGCTATGACATTGCAGGAAGTGATTCCCAAAGTAACTATCAAACCTAAAAGACCTATTGGGAAAAATGAACTGCAATTACAAAAAGAAATGACTATAAGATATTTATTAAAACCAGGTGAGTTGGAAGGAGGACACGTTTATAGGAAAACTGATCCATACTTCTCGTTGCGTGTTTATCGAATTAAAAAGATTATTGTTGGAAGGAATTCACCACAGCCAGTCTTATACTATCTTGAAGATGAGCCTATTGAATCTACTGCTCATTTGATGGGACATAACCCACATCGACCATTCAAGTGAGAAGAACTCCAAGTAATAGAAAATCCTGAAGAAGTCAAATATTCACCTGACAATTTTATACGAAAATATCACCCTTCTGAATCGATACATTTCATTTGTGTTTCTAGTAGTGAATTTGACAGGGTCCAACAATATGTCAAGAAACGTGATGGAAGTATTTTAGCTAAAACTGATCGAATTAATGATCAGAATGTATACCTTTGGTCATGTCAGAATGGTAAACATCAATTCGAATATCCATTTCCACTAATTGCTAAGAAATTTGAATGGTGTCCTATTTGTCCTCATTTCAAAGAAGAACGTAGATGCCGATATATTTTTGAGGACCTGTTGGATAAGAAATTTCCATCTTGTAAACCGTCATTTTTGAATGGGATGCAATTAGACGGGTATAACGAAGAATTAAAATTGGCATTCGAATTCCATGACGTCCAACATTATCGTGTAGTTCCAAAACACTTTCACCCCAATGGCGAGGCTGACCTAGGTGCACAATGGAACCGTGATCAAAAAAAATGGGATGAATATAAAAGAGAGGGTATAGATCTTATTGAAATTCTGTATACTTGCGATTTATTACCATATATAAAAAGTGAATTGCAGAAGAAAGGATATTTACCGCATAAAGAATAAATATTGCTTATCTTGGTTAGAATGAAAGATAAAGGCATGCCCATATTTGTATATAATATTGACGAGATATCAAACAAATCCTCAGAACGAATGAAATCTAACAAATATACCCCCGACTGGCCTTTTAGACTTCTCGTGACAGGTGGCTCCAATAGCGGAAAAACAAATATGGTTATTAATCTTATGCTAGGTAACAAATTACAACGAATATTTAAAGATAAGAAAGGAAATCGTTATATCAAAAACGATGATCTCGTATTAATAGGCAAGCATTTTGAGCTGAAATGGCAACTTGTACAAAATAGCTTTCAGATCTTTGCGAATGCGCCTAAACCATATCGAGAAGATGTCATATTTAAAAGGATATCTTCAGATAAGATTCCAGATATAACTAAATTCTCTCCGGAATGAAGTACAGTTATTGTTTTTGAGGATCTATGTGCTGAATCCAAAAAAGTGCAAGAACGAATTATTCCTTACTTCATTAGTGACCAGCATCAAAATGTCTCACCTATATATGTGAGCCAGAAATATACACAAACACCTAAAATTATACGCGAAAATATCTCACATTTATGCCTATTTCAGGGATCGGGTAGCAGAGACGATATTAGTAGAATCGTACGTCAATATACAGATGATCCAAAAAAGGCATCCAAGATTATTGATAAGCATTTGCGGAATCAGGAATTCGTGGTTTTTGATTTTACTAAGGCAGTAGACGATCCTCTAGCAGTTAGACTGGGTTGGGACACTCACCTGAAATTAGATGAATAAAGCGTGATATCCCGTCATCTCATGACTTCATCACTCAGCACTAGAGCTAATATTGGATTGGGTTCCGTGATTCATATAGGTTAGGATAAAATCGCGTTTATATGACTAGTTTGATAATCGAATATTTTTTCAGTTGTAATTTTATTCTATTAATATTAATACATCCTATCTGCCACTTATATTTTCGAGCTGACCGAATCCTGCTGTGTTTGAAGTTAGAGTGGATGTGTAATAATAACAAGCACGATATATTATCATTACTAGGGATTTTTGCGACCCATATACATATTGATATAGAAAAATCGAGAAGATATGTGTCATTATCTATTGTATGTAACACATTTTGCATCTACTTTTCTGGCTTCGGCGTGAGCTGGCATGAAATGCCGAGTGATAGAGTCACGAGAAGACGGGATATATTAATCAGATAAATAGGTTATGTGACTACATTATATAATTTATTAAATACTATGCTTCTATTTCTAAAAGTCGCTTTTGGAATCTAGACCGCAATTGACTCTTTTTAGAATCTATCCAATTATACGGAATATAATATTCTTCATATTTTCTAACATAAATATCCAA